GGCTGAGCTTCCAGTGAACGCCCAGGTACAGCGTAAGCTGTATTAGAGCAACTTCTAACAAAGCAACAGCCTAATAAGACTTCTTACTCAACAACGAAGGAAGCAGCAAAATATTGTGGTCAAATATTAAAGCAATATTCACATTATGGATATTATCATGTATTTACATCATACATTAATCCAGAATGTCATCATCTGCCTTAATGGCATTTTAAGTACTTCCGTTTTATTAGGCAGTGTAGGTGGGCAGATTCTAATAGCATCCAGACAATATCAAACAGTGCTAGACAGTGATGGATTTTCCCTGGCATTTATCTAAATATCAGCATGGGGAAATGCCTCTTTGTAACAGCTCTCATAAACTCCCCAGTTTGTACAATGAATATAAATTCACCCGCTTACTCTGACTTTGTTCTGCAGGTGTCCCCTCCTCCACCTAAGTCCAAGGTAAGCCCCCCCCCTCACTCTTCACATGCTTAAAAAAGAGAGGATGGAAAACAATACTTTTACCATGTAATATAGGTCTTTGGTAGTTATACTTAACCTTGCAATTCCAAAGGACTAATTTAGTTCTAATTTTGAGATCCAAAAGGGATGTTCATTTCTTATGTGCTTTATAAGAATATTTCCTCTCTTATCTGTAGTTCCAGATAAAGGGTACCGTCTCATTTGTAGGTTGAATGGGACAATGCTCATTTCTTGCTCCAAATGGTTCTTACTTCCTGTATTCCTTGTACATCTATGTCCAAAATAATGATAGTTACTTCTTTCAGTTCAAAGGAAATGCACTACCTCATTACCAGCATGTACACATCTGACAAGCCTAAAACAAGCCAAAACAAAATAAAAATGGTTTCGAGACAGAAAGAAAAGACAGAAAATACTATATACATTTCTACAAAATAATGACACATCTAGGACATTGTACCAGCTTACTGCTGTCACACAGTGCTGAAGCAGGGTTCTTGGAAAACTGATTTTGTTTTGGTCAGCAAAAAATAAATAGTGTGTTTAAAGTCCAAGCAAAATGTATCAAAATTGTCACAGAGTTTTGGGAATCACTTATTTCAAAACAGAAAAATGAAGAAAATTAATCAGGAATATGATTGATAGGACCATGTTACCAGGGAAGCCAGAGATAATTAATGCTGTATTTTGGCATATTCATCCATCCCAGAATAAACAGGCTTCTAACAATCATGCACAAAATATTTTATTACTATTGATTGTTGTTTGGGAGAGGAAGGAGAGAACAAAAAGTGTGTGATAATCTGTTTAAGGGCAGCGACTCCCCGGCTGGAATACGAGCCATCAATGCTTAATCTGCATTGTAAATTTACCAGTAACGTGTCCTGTTAAATAACTTGAGTCATTAGTCTACCAATATGTCTCCAACTGCCTCTCACTCATCATCATTAGAGTTTCTCATTTAACTGGGTATGAATCAGGCCAACAAAATATACTGAAGCTTATCTGTGGAGCCACAGGGACTGACGCGGCTTGAGTGCTGATTGGCTGTGGCCAGCAGGGGCGGGCAGCCGCTGCGTGAGTGCTGATTGGTTGCGGCCAGCGGGGGCGGGCAGCTGTGGCTGACGCGGCATGAGTGCTGATTGGCTGTGGCCAGCGGGGGCGGGCTGACGTGGCTGGTGTGGATGTGCTGCTCTCTGCGCTGCTCTGTGCTGTCACCCTCTTGACTTTCTCTCTCTCTTTCATATCCAGTGGCGAGGACTATCTGCCAAATTAGGCCGGGTAGGTGATTTAAAAAACAACAAAATAAAATAAGACCGAAAAACAACCAAACAAACACAAAAAAACAACCCTAAAAAAACTCCCTTGATTGATTTCACAGCCCTTTTTGTCACTGGAAAACTTGCAGCCAGGGTGAATGCTGCCTCTCCTGTTTGTTCTTCCCGTCTTACCTGGTAAAACGTCCCCAATTACCTTCCCTGTTATTCTTCACTCCTTCACATACCTTCCCTTGCATGTCTCCCTACTCATGTTCCTCACTTCCCTTTGCCTGCCTGTTTATTTCACTCCCCCCCCCACCCCCACCCCACAACCCCCCCTTCAGCTGCTGTCTCTGTCATGGCTACTCTCAATTCACAGCCATACATCTTCAGTGGAAAAAAAAAGTTGATTTGCTGAGGTAAAGTATCACTGTCCGGTTTGGCTGCTTTTTCCCACAGATGTGCAAATGGATGCCTCCAGACAATATTGTTACCGCAATCCAATAAACATGTTCAAAATTATACACTTTTCATGGAACAATCTAAATGCATAGAACGCGGTGGCCAGATTTGTGGACTGCACCTTTAAATCATTTTATCCTGGGCTGTTTTTCAGTGAACAGATAATTCGGGAACCAGTCTGCTCAGTACTTCATAAATTTCAAGCGACACTGCAGTGCGTTCAATTCCCCTGCCAAGATCACCCAGCTAGATCAGGTGTGGCCGTTATTAGACTGTGTTCTGTCACAGCTGGACCTCTGGTAATTAAAAGGCCGTTTGGCTAGTGGGCAGGATTCTAATGATGTGACTACAGAACAGTTCTGCCGTCCCTCACATCATGCAAGGCAAGTTGAATGGCGCTGCTGCTACTTTGGCCGCTAGAACGTCTTTTCTTTCCTCCTTAAACGCCTGACTCTTCTGGCCGTGCGTCAGATCTGCAGAGGCGATCGCTGTCTTCCATCATCTGGGTTTGTGTGCGATGGTTTGCTCACCATTCAGCTCTACATCCCACTGAACTTCGATCTCTCCTCCTACCCTCCTTTCATAAAGCGACGTCTCCCTGGATGGGAGCAGCAGATCTATCAGAAACCTGCAGGTTGTCACTCAGGTCAGAAAGGTCAGGAGAACATCTAGACGCAGAAGGGAAATTGGGGTCAAGTTGGGTATCCAAGCTGCTGCTGCTTCTATTAATGATGATGGTGATGACCAATATCTGGAGCCACAAAAATCCCTAAATCTCCATCCCATCCATGCACATCATTTAGGTTCATTGTGCCACAACTGACAGGAGAATAAGCTTTCAGCTGAAGTGACTGGTTTTATTATGAAAAAGTAATAGCTCAGTTAAAACATGGTATTATTTCCATAATTAAATGTTTTTTTCAATAGGCGATTACTTTTTGAATTGTGTTTCAGTGGAAAAACACTCATAATGACATTGTGAAACTGCAAGTAGGAGTTCCAATAAGGAAACGCATCCTCTGTGATGGCACAATCCCGTAAAGCGACCAAAGGTGCAGGCGCAGCCCATCGCCTTCAGTGAACATACAGTGTTGCTGTGCAGCTTTGCTCATTTAACCCGACAAAACGTGGTTGAGTGTGTCCTTGGACCGCCAGGAGCCGGGGCTCTCCAGAACACACGTGCCGTACTCCTGGTCCAGCCAGAGGGTCTCAGCTGTGCACCAGTAGCAGTCTCTGGGGCCCCAGATTTTCCAAACCCCCTCCTCTCCCACCCGAGACTGATTCTCATGCCTTTTTCCTTAGGGGGAGCAGAAGTCTACACAGGCAGGCCGCAGTGAAGGCCAAGGAACCTTGTCAAGGATCTTCAAAATGGTAAAGAGCTCACGCCATCCTGGGGCATAAACACAGACGGGGACAGGGACATTGTAATTAATGCTAATACAGCAGCAGGGCTAAAGGCTGTATGAGCCTAACATGGCTAAGATGCGCTAGTGCCTTTGGCTCTACAGACACTAATGAGTCCTCCTGTGCTGTCCCAAACTGAAGAGAATATCATCCTTCAAACACACATAAATGCATTAATGGAGGTCACAGTCGATATTGTTATGGAAACACAAAGACTTTTCCTTGAGATATGTCCCCGAGCGTGTGCATGTGTTACATCTGGATTGTGTTGATGCATAAAATCCCCCTAAAAAGGTGTTTTTCTTGGGTTTGTAATGCCTGAGAGACATCACTATATTCCAGCTGTAGTGATACACGCAGCCGTGGGACTCTGAGCCTCTGAGCCTGAGCCCTGCCCGGCTGGGGGGGAAACCCTGTGTCACCTTAAGACTGCCATGGACTTAAGCGCTTTGGAGCGGCGCGGGGATGCTACGCCTAACGGCTTTATTGACCCATCTGTCGCAATACTGAAGCCTCAGAACTGTATTATGAAAAGAACAAGCATAGAATTAGTAATGAAGAGCAAAGTCACTCATTATTGACCCTGCTACTATCCCTTTTTTGAGTAAATGTCCTTGTAATGTCAAATAATGTAATAATCATAAACAAAATACCACCTGCCTTCTTCTTCTTTATGTTTCATGTCCCCTTGGTTAAACAAAATCCATCCATCCATTCAGCCATCCATCCATCCATCCCTTCAATGGTTGGTTGTCCAGTCAGGATAGGCAGGAAAGTGTGTGCCTTGGGTGGGGGACAGTTGGGGACAGTTGGGGACAGCTGGGGACAGTTGAGGACAGCTGGGGACAGTTGGGGACAGTTGGAGACAGTTGGGGACAGTTGAGGACAGCTGAGGACAGTTGGGGACCGTTGAGGACAGTTGGAGACAGTTGTGGACAGTTGAGGACAGTTGAGGACAGCTGGGGACAGTTGAGGACAGTTGGGGACAGTTGAGGACAGTTGGAGACAGTTGGGGACAGCTGGGGACAGTTGGGGACAGTTGAGGACAGCTGGGGACAGTTGAGGACAGCATGAAAGGCTTACATTTCACCACAAGACCTTGCTTCCATATTTTTCCATGGCAGTTCATATGCAACCAGAACATATGGATTAAATGCCACCACCTCTGTGGAGGCAATTCTGTGTGAAAAGCCATATTACACAACGTTCACAAGGGCACTGACCTTGCACGATTGGATTCTGCTGCAATACCCTTGTGATAGAATTACTCTGGTGAGAGTAATCAGCTGTAAGATGGACACTGTAATGATAAACACATTTCTCCTTTTGTTGTATGACTGTATTTAAGCTGGGTGAATTTGGATCTCCAAATGTTTAGACTTGGCTTACTGCGTTTTGAACTGTATCGGCCCATCTTTGGGCACATCTGGGGACGCAGTGATGGCAACAGAATTGATTTTGTTCTGAGTGAGCTGACACCTAATCGCTTGTGTGACGCCAGCTCTTGAGTTCAACCGAGCAATACTGAGGAAAATCCAGAAAGAAACCAAAGCCCACAGGAAGTCGTCAGAGGCGTAGCACGATTTCAGTAATTAGCAAGTAATTCTGTTCAGTGATTAATTCATTTAAGTGTCTTTTTTCAGTTTATCTTAGGACTTAATTTGTGAAATAGTGAAGGGAGGAAAATCAATGCTTCAGAATGTCTTCACCCTACTTGGATGCAGATTGTTAGGTTACATATCAGCTTCATGAAAGCAGCATGCTGAGTTTCAGGGTCTTTCTTCTGAAGAATAATTGTGTGTGTGTGTGGGGGGGGGGGGGGGGGGGGGGGGTTGGGTGTCACATGATTGGCTTCAGCTGTCCCTCCCTCCCAAAATGATTATTGATTGGCATGCTGTGATGTGTTTCAGCTAGTAACCCTGACCACAGGTCAGATTCCTTGCCTGGGTTTGTGCTTTTAATTTGTCTGCCGAAATGGTGTCTCTTTTTCAGTATTTACATCTATGTTATGTTCTGTTCTGCCCAAATCACATCTCCTGTTCACCATTCCCACCAAAGGGATCCTCACGATAGCATTAATAATTTGTGCCTGAGATAAAATTACATTATCCAGCTTACATTTTGAAATAAGTTCATTTGATCTACTGTAACAGATCTTTTCTGTGTCCTGCTGCATCTAAAGTTTTCTCTTTCTTTTTTTGATATTGTACCTCAAATCCTGCAAGCCTGAGTCGCGTTTGATGTGAAATCTGTTTCTCATGAATGTTTTGTGACAAATACCAGCAGTTTTCTTTTCCCTCTTTATATTTTTAGATGTTGAAAGGTGATTTTTTTTTTCAATGCATCGTAGTATCTCATTCAATTCTACATGGATATATTCAGCATTATCCTATTTTTTCCCCTTAATTTAGAAACTATAGTCTAGTCAGTAACATCAGTAAACACAGCAGAAAGACGTCAGTTTCTGGTCATAAAATGAGGTTGACTGGTCCAGCTGCTAACGCTACCTGTTCTCTCATTTCCTTCCAGGGAGGAAGTAGATCTGGGTCACCTGCCAAGCGCTGATGTCCCTTCTTCCCATTCCTTTTTAATGCCAAAAAGGGTGTATTTGGAAGAAAAAGGAAGCCAACGAGGGAGATGAAGCAAGAAACCGGATTGATAGCCTGACCACTGCCCTGCCGCTAACGCACTAACGCTGGCCTTTGCGTCTCCACCTCACGGCTCAGCCGCTGCGTCTAACCCGTCCTCCGGGACACAAGCATGGCCGTCGTAACCAGAATCACCGATAGCCTTCTCGCGCACGCAGCCTCGAAGGGTCTCATTCCCCCTTTCTGTCTTTTTTCTGTTGCTGTTGTCGTCGTTGTCAAAGTGTCGAACCCTAACAGTGGGGACTGGAACATCGGCGGGCTTGGTAACCAGCCCATCCGGAACGTTCCCTTTCCGTCGCCTCTCCCATGTTTTCTTTTTTCCATGTCTCCCCACTCTCCCTTTCCGTATTTGCTGTGTTTACCGCCTAACAGATTATTAGTTATTAGAGTAGCATAGAAATGCTTCTTGTGACTCTTCTTGTCATCTTGTGCAGATTAGTGTCTTTGGTTGTAAATGTGTAGCCCAATCACTCACGGTCCGTGTGTTTTCACTCCGAGCATCTTGCTCAAACTGCAACCGAAACTGCACAGATTTTAATACCTCCATCCCATCATAACGTACAGGCAGTTTGCCTGGAATCTGTAATGTTTAGCGCCTGATCTTGTTGGCTGTAAAATTGGAGGGGAAAATGACCTACAAGGGTTGTAATTTAACCAATTATATATATATTCATGGTACCCACTGATTTTCTATCTGCTAACTATTCTCTTTAGCATGAACACATCATTAATTTAATTAATTAATTTAAAATTTTAACGGTAATGGGACGCCATTTTCCCAGCCAAACTTTAAGTAGATTAAAAGTCTGTCTGTACTGCACTGTTTTTGTGACTGTGAGGAAACGGCCTTCACCGAATCAAGTTCTGGGGGGCATTAGTATAATTATCCTGGTCTTTACATCATGATAAATTTAACCCCCCACCCACTACCCACCCCAAGCCATAAAAGTGTATTTTTTGTTGTATGCTATCATAATGTCTCGTGTTTGTTACATTTGTTATCTGTCGAAATAAAAAAAATTGAATAGCTAGTTAACGCAATGCCATTTGTAAACGCAAGAGAATTACTGCCCCATGATTGTGTACCTTTGTTTTCCTGTGTCCTGTTGAAAGTGTTTCCGGCTGTCGGGAAAAACAGACACATCCTTTTTCGCATCTAAGCAAACACTGGGATAGAGAGGAATAGGACAGGTTGCCAAAAAGTTTGTTGAGTGTCCTGAGGAACAGAGGGACGGAGATTGATTCATCTCCACCGTGGTTTTGCCCACGTTCATCCCCAAAAACAACAGCACCATCTGTGTATTTAAAGTAAGCTTCAGCCTGCGTACGCATGTCTCTGTGTGTGCGGCTCATGCGAATCAGTTTAAACCTAGAAGCCTTCGCTGTCCCCGGCACAAACAAAATGACCCGCCTCTTAACTTAAATAAAAGCCATTTAAAAGTTGTGGTGCAGATTTTCTTTGTTATTTAAGAAAAGAACCAACAATCTCAAAGCAATGGACTTCTCTTTGTTGGCAAATCATCCAGACATAGTATACCAATATATACACACCTATCCATGGCTTAGTAATACAATACTGCAGCATGCATGTGGGCCACTTTAATAAAGATACACGAGAGCGCTTTCAAAATCCGAAGCTCTGACTTTATAACAGAGTACGGAGAAGTCTTCCTGTTAGTGTAGTGCAAGCTAAAACCTGCAGGTCCTTTAAATCTGGGTTATTAGCTGAGATCTCTCCAAGCGAGCTTAATGGGCCGAATGGCCTCCTGTTGTCTGTAAACTTTTTATGTTCTTACTGTGAGTCCATTGCCAGCAATAACCAGATAGGGAAGCCAACAATTAACAATTAAGCTAACATGTCTGGTGGTTCAGACAGTTTCACCTGGATGACTGAGAATCTTCACAGACAATTAAGGTAACAGAAAAAGACGCATTCTATGGTAAAACGTTACATGGTTACAACACTTATAATTTAAAATGTAAATACATGAACACACACCTTACATTACATTACATTTAAATATTGCTTTATATGTGTGGCGCAAGGCATGCTGGTCGCTAGAATAATTAGCCCATACTAATCAGTGTCACAATACTATTTTGAGCTGTTCTTATATAAAAAGGCAGTAATGTTGTGGTCTATCAGGCTCCACAAGCCAGGTCAGTTTGTGAGGCTATAATCTGCCAAGCGAACAAGTTTACCGCAATACTTTTGCCAGTAACACCTGGACAGAGTATCAGAGTTACAGAAATAATAGTTGTACAAGAAGACTAATTGATCACAGACAGTAGGAGCTTCGCAGGACCTGAAAGGGCTAAAAGCCGATCGGACTGGCTGCTTTGAAAACATGCCATATTCTCCGTACGAGAGAGGAGAGGCAGTGACTTCAATTTCGGTATTTGGAGACCTGCTAGCGTCTGTCTGGCAGGGAGTGAGTGAGTCTCTGGGGAGGTCAGCTCTGCCCGCGAGATTCTCTACCTCTCTGGCGAGATATCAGGTCAAGAACTTGGCTTTGCTATTCAAAGGCACAGTGAGCTTTGCAATAATGCTTTGCTCAAACATGCTGATGTGTGTCCAGTTATGTCTGTCCATCAAATTCTGCTTTTCACATGTCACCCAGTGGCCTGGAAGGGATCCTGGAAGCTCACTGGCTACCTGCCTCTCTCCCATGACTGTCTCGGCCAAATACTATTTTCTTAGATTTGACGAGACGCAAACAGAAGATTGTTGACATAATCGAGAAAGGACAAATCTATACCAGAGAATGCCGCGAATTAGTCCCGAAGGGTGGCATTTTCAGAGCCATCCATTTAACCATATAGATCCAATGAAGCTCTGAAGACACCTATAATAATCATAGATCATCTTGATGATGGCCTCATTGATGTATTTTTCCACTGCGAAAGAGCGGGTTAATTTCAGCATCTCTTCTTAAAGTTCATTTAAAATCACCACCCATCTCTCATTGGCACACACAGGCCATAAGTCCCCTGAAGCTGTATTTATCCTAAAATGCTTTGAACAAAAGAGAATTATAAATATTCATAAAAGCATAGGCCAGGAATCAATTATCAATTAGGCAGGAGCAATAGTGAAGTTCCCAAAAAAGCCCCATCCCAGCCCCCCAGGGCCCAGAGCCAAGAGCCATGTCCTTCTCTGCCCTCCTGTAATTCCAGGCTCACACTCCGTCCCTGATTGCTCTCATCCATGTCATAACAGTCACGCAGCGACAGTGATCCCAGGCAATAGCTGTGATTGGATGCTATGCTGCCCAGCGTCTGTCTGCCTTTGTCTGCTGCGTCATGCAACAGGCCCCACTCATCATGTTCTCTCTGCTCTAAAATTAACAAAGATGTTTACTGAAAATTAATATGATGAGCAAATTCTGGAGTGTTGCAGAAACCCAGTAACTCACTCAACTGTGAAATTAAAACTGAAATGATGGATACATATTAAACAAAAACAGGGGAAAGGTTACTAACAAACAAACATGGTGTACTTACCTGTACCACCAGGAGGTGGGGGGGGGTTATGGGTAATGAAGTCCTTTATACAACCAGCTGGGACCTGGAACTCAAATACTGTCCTAACATAGTATTTAATAGGTTGAACTGTATTTGCTGAGCTCTGGTCACCCTTCAGACATGTAATGGTAAGGCAGCAGAAAAATGACAAGAAGGATCAACCACCTGTTCTAACTTCTAATATTTACCAAACTTATGCATAGACAAAGATCAGAATCAGAAACTTTATTGTCACTATACAGAAGTATAACGAAAATTGTGTGTAGTCCCTTGCAGTGCAAAAATAACAGAATATTTAAAGCAATAAAATAAAATAATTTTCTTATGTATAAAAATAATATTTAACAGAGCAGGTTATTGCACATTGTAAGTTTAACAAATATTGCACAGATTTAACTCGGTAAGGTATTGCACAGGTTTGTGATAGAGAGCATACCCTTTCGGTGTTCATTTATAATCGCAACCACCCTAGGATATGTGCTGTTTTTCAGTGTCTTTGTTTTGGCTTTTATTGACCTGTACCGCCTTCCTGAGGGTAACAGCAGGAGCAGGTGATGTGCCGGGTGGGATGTGTCCTTCAGGATGCTGCAGGTTTTACAGTGGCAGCGGGACCTGTACAGCTCCTCCAAGGAGAGGAGAGTGCAGCCCGTGACCTTCTGCACTGTGTTGATGACCCTCTGGAGCGCTGCCTTTTCTTGAGCAGTGCGGCTGGCAAAGCACACTGGGGTGCAATATGTCACCAATATCACTCTATTTAGAGCATAAGAAGCACAGACAAGAGTGTTAGTAAATTGGCTAGTGGGAGTCATGGCTCTTGGTAATTCACATTTTTTTATTTTTAATCTAATGAATTAGCGTCTCTCAAGCTGAAAGAAGAGCAGTCAGTGGCTCATTAGTCAGTGCTGTGACCTCTGACCCCCATGATTCTGGATTCCATTGGATTCTTGGGTTCCTCCCAAACACATGAGGTGTCAGGGGGAACTGTGAATGTCCCTCAGTGTGTTTGATGTCTGTATATGCAGATGAGCTCCCGCATGTGGCCTGTGTTACATAAGGCAGGACAAAGGACATGGGACCGGGAGCTCGGGCAAAGAAAACGGGTTTCATAGGATCATAGGCTCATAAACTGGGACGAACAGGAGCAGCAGAATTAATGTCAGGACAGGGGAACACAGGACTGGGAAGCACTTTTAACAGGGACTAACGAGGGAGCACAACGAGAGGCAACTGGAGTGTATCACAGAAGGGCAGGAAAGAGAGGTCAGAGAAATGCATAACAGGCCTGGCACATTAGAACCACGCTAGGGGGGACATAGGAGGGGCAGGAACGCAGGGCGTAACACTCTGCGATGAACTGGCACGCAGAGTATCCCCTTCTGCATACCTGCCCAGTGCGGCCTACAGGCCCGCCATCACAAGGATGGACGGAAGAATAAAATAATCTTCCACAGCAGATTTTGAAACAAGCCCTTATTGATATCTCCTGTGTGGCTGACATTAAATACAGTTTCTTTAGGGTGGTTAATAGACCATCAGTAAAGGGCATGTTTTTTCTGATCAATAATACATTTATCAGACCAGAATGTTTTTTCGGAGACAGTCATACATCATCCTTATTTAATTTGCCTTTCAATATATCTTCATGAATCTCATAAACACCTCATAAGTGTGTGCTTCTTGTAGGGTCCTGCTGTCTACATTTTTATGAAGCACCATTGCTTGAACTGGAAGGAACAATGATGGATTAAACACTATGGTCTCATTTCAACCATAACAAGAATCCAATGTCGCTCTATTCAGCGTGGTTGTTTCTAGCCATTGTGCCATGGCAGTGGCATGCAGAGGTATGTACATCCATCCATCTACTCTCCATAACAGATTTCCTCTCCACTTTCAAGAAGGACAAAAAGCCAGCAGCAGTAAACAAACCACATCCCCAGAGCCCCAAGTCTGCAATACCACCATCTTCACATTCACTGTTTTCTTTGGCCATGAGTAAACAGGAAGCTACAAATCACAAACACCAGCCTTATTCAGGGCAGCATCTTTTCAGCTTTAGCCTTAACAATTCTACTGACAGCCTCAATATGCGGCTTTGATGCCGGCCAGGGAAATGTGACCTCATCAGCCATCCTGCATTACCAAGTACGAAACGCCATTGGTTAAATTCAGGCAGTTAGCATGTCTGCTTTTCAAAACGTGACGTCATTTATTGCATTTTAATGCATTCATTCATTCATTCATTCATATGATACTTACATCTAAGTAATTTCATGCCTTTAAGAGTTTGGCAATAGATTTATTTAAAAGCAAACTTGTTTTGTATAATTTATGCCATTTGATTGTTATATATGGCAAACTCATTACAGTTCATCCATCCATCCATCCATCCATCGGCTGTACCCACTTGTCCAATGCAGGGGTACAGTCTATAATTATCTCAGTGCTGATGTATTGCATTGTAAGTCCAAAATAAGATATATTAAGTGGCTTAAGGGAGAAATGTTGTGGATGCTTTTTGTTTCAAGTGAAACAGAGCGGTTTACTCATTCCCAAAGTGGTTTAGCCACAGCGTCCTGAAGCCACCTACCTGACACAGCCTGACAAACCACCCAGCAGGAAATTACAGCCACGATGGATTAGTCACGCCACAGAAAAGCCAGACTCTACGCTCTGGGCCCCTAATGCTCAAATGTGGTGTCTCACTGAACACCGTGGCATTGATGCCACCGCTAGCTGACCTGTGTTTGTCATGAGGTTTGAGGAGATTACCTACTAATTTGCAAACTCCTCATTAAACATTGCAATTAAAAATGGAAAACATATGGTGAGCACTTCAGATAATATGAAGATAAATTGCAATAAAACTTTGATAATGCACCAGTTTGAAATTATATTCCGTGTCATAATATTATCTT